TGACATTTTGTTTGTTGTTTTCTAATCAAGATGGAGAATGTAAATGTTTTAATAAACAGAAAATACTATTTTCTCACTGGGAAGCAGAGCAAGACACTCTCTGTTCCTAACAAGTACATGGAAGTTGTATTCAGAGCCTATTTTTCAACAAGAAAAATGAAATTAAATAAATAAAATCAAGCAGACAGTGTTTTTGTCCCCTCCACTAGGTTCTTCGTATTCAGTCTTTCACATTCTCCACAGCATTTTTCCTGAAGGCTATGAATATGATTTGCACATTTACATTGATGTGATTTCCACCCACTCCCTAAAATCAGCTGTGAATATTAACACTGTTTGAATGAAGCCCACTCAACATTTATGTTTAAAATGTCTCGTCTATTTTAAAGACAAAATCCTGCTACTTTTTCTTATAAAAAGAAAAAATAAGAATCAAAGTGCTAGTAATATTTCAGAATATTTATTGTTCATTTGGGGTCCTCAGTCTACCTCTCCTTGTCCAACCGACTTCCATCATTCACACACAATCTTAATTTATGATGCTATCAGGGCTATGGGCTGGGAGGAAGTTGTCCAGGTCCCATGTGGCTGAGGGCCCTCAATGTATTGGTTCATATCGTCTAAGAAAAACAAAGATAGATTTGTCTGACCTATCTCCTTTGAATTTCAGGACTGTATTTTACAGAGTTAAACAGGAAGCCCATTACTAACCATTCCCATTCATGGTTATTAATGACTCTATCATCACTAAATACTATATAATAAAAAATCCCTATCCAATACACTTAGTATGCTAATACTACATGTACTGAAATACTCTATGTCAGCGGTCCCCAACGTGGCACTCTTGGGCATCACTGCACCCACCACTGCACCTTCCCTGGTGCCTGTCGAGCATTCTTAGGAAGTAGCTTTCTACTTTTAGAAAGTAGCTTTTGGCCAACAGGGCTTCTAATTGGCCCCTGGAGATCTGACTGGCTGTGTAGATTTTTTAAAAGTGGCTTCGGCAGCAGCTTCCAGCAAAACAAAAGTATCTTCACTGCATGGCTCAAGCTGTGTGTAAGCAAGAAGAAGATTTGCAGACAATATGCTCATTTTAAGAGAAATCCTGTTAAACATTGTTTGCCTGAAATGCTGAAGTGTTACTATTAGTTATGCATGGCTTCACTCCCTGACATTTTGTGGTTGACGCCATCTGTTATGGTCTACTACACACTTCACAGCAGCCATTTTGTGGTTGTGCCCACCATCCTGTGTCAAATTTCCAAAGGTGCCCACAGGCTCAAAAAAAGACTGGACTCCTACTCTGTGTTCTCTACTGACAACTTTTGTGGTGGGTGCAGAAGACTATGTTTTGCCTTAAGTACCTCTCTACAGTCCTGGGTGATGTTACTGATGGCTTCCTGACCTTACTTTGTTTAACATATGCCCTGTATAACTCACAGATCATAGGATCTAGTCCAAAGATTTCAAGATCTTCTGACACTATGATTTTTGACAATGGCATAACAAGTCTATGCAGTTCTCTGGGTAAACCCTCAAAAGCCTTTAAATTGTATCAGTTTTCAGTGGTGCACTTGTATTTTCAATAACAGAGGCCCCATCACAGTTAAATCCATGGTACTCATGCCACAGTTCACAGAGAGTCACATTCACAACTACCATCAACCATAAAAGGCCCCATTTACTTCCGCCCTTGGAACGAGGCCTACACCTCAGGGAGGCTCACCCATCCCTCCAGTGGGGACTGTTTCAAGGTGAGATCCAACTATTAATCACAAGTCCCACTGGGCAAGATTCCTGCCCACAGAGCAGGCGCCACATTAGGGAATGGTGCTGACAAGAGCAACAGGTGGAATGTCAAAGAGACACATGTGGCTCCTGAACCACTACAACTGAATTAATTAGTGTTTTAGTTTTTCTTACTGCATGTATACATATACATATGAACTGCCACATGTGCAACAAAAGGGGCATTTAAATACATAGGTAACAAGATCAGTTCACTGGGTGGACATGTACTGCTCTGAGCTCCTTGGAAGGAGAGTGAGATCTAAGTGTGACAGACAGATAGATGGATACCAGTCCAAAGCCTCTTCCCCTCACCTTATCTAAGCATCATTCATTCTATGTTGCTATAGATCTAGGCTGCCCTTGAAAAATGTTCTTCTTATTTATATAAGAAATTAAGAAATAATTGTTATCTATAGATTGTCATGGTAAATGACCTTTTAATAAAATACATAGTGGTTGCTACCATCAGCCCTAAAGGACACTGTGTTAAAATTCACTGAAACAGCACAGCTTAAGTTAATGGGTTAAATGATGAGAATGTTACCTCAATGATATTTAACAACATCCATTTCAAAGAACTAGACTCCCATGATAAATTAGATTTCTATTAATACTACAGCATATGGTCTATATAAGAAAATGCCTATAAAAAAACTCCCCCCCCCCCCAAAATGTGGATGCATATGTACTTTTTGTTTTTCTTCTCTGCTCAGGGACTCCTATTGGTTAGAAATGAAAAGACAGCAGAAAAAAAACAGCACAAAGCTTCTAAAGATTGGAAAATACCTTCATATTCCCCCTCCTCTGGGGAGTTTATACCTCGCAACCATTCCAAGATTCATAATATTCAGGATGCATCCTACTGACAAAGAGCTATCCAACCACATATGAAGACAGGCTTCTCCCATATTTTGAACAGTGTTTCCCAAACTTCTCTTAGCAGAGGCAAGTTCCCCCCCCCTGAGTTACATTTGGAGGCCTATTTCACTTATATAGCCAAAATAAATAAATAAATACATTTTCACTTGAAAACATTTACTTAAAAAGGTTTACTTGAATCATGATAAGCACTCCCTTGCAGCAAGAGAGCATTTGCTAGGATTTCACAGCAAACAAAGGGTTAAAATGAATGACTATGGATTCCTAGAGATACTGTCCTTCCTCTGTCCCAGTAAAGATTGGTGAGCTCCCTCCTGCTCCTCCCTCCTTTTGTTAGTGAGCCCCAGCGGAAGTCTTCTTCCAGGAGTTCATGATGGTTCTCAGCAGGCCTGGATACTCTATGTGTTATAGCTATGTGTAATGTATTTATAGTTTATATTGTAATTTTAATGAAATGTTTTATTGTATATCTATATCTATGTTGTTAGCTGCCCTGAGCCTGCCGAAAAGCTGGGAGGGCGGGATATAAATATAAATATTATAATAATACACTTATGTATTGATGGGGCTACGCATGCAGCCACACAACAGGGCACATACCACCACCCCCCATTTTATTTTGGGTCAGAAAACTGCATGAGGGGGAAGTCTGAAGCGCCTTCTCCTCCTCTGCCATGATCCCAACCTAAAACAAATCCCCTTGCACCCATATGACCCTCTGAGTCAAAGACAATCTTCACATCTCATGGTTATACTACACACATTGCATGATGATGATGATGATGATGATGATGATGATGATGATGATGATGATGATGATGATGATGATAAGCTCGGGGGAATCCGGACACACTACACATTAAAAGTGTAATGTGCACTTTGGCCCTCAAGCATGCTCCACTTAACAGCAGCTATACCTCTAAGAAGCTTAGCCTCACTCATGTGCCTTCAGATAGATTATTGGTATCCTCATCAGCCTAGTGCAAGCCTTGCCTCAAAGCCTGAGGCAGGACACTATAAGGAGTCCTGGATAGTTAGTACAAGCGGACCAGTCAAGAGTGAAAGGCACAGCACATATCAATGTAATGCAGAGGATATTGGGTAACTTATCACTGTTGTTCATTATCAGTGCTATGGTATCCATAGGTAACAGATTTTTGTAAAGTAGGTCATTTATGCCCTTTCAGGAAGGCTTTATAGCATGATGTGGGTTTTTTACAATCCTGGCTCTCCGTTTTAATCTCCCTTGCTCATCTGTAGGATCAGCAAAAAGAAAAGCATAATGGTAAAAGATGCCATTCTTGACTAATTTGGTATAACTTGTTTAAAACACAGCTAACCCACTTTTCTAATAAAAGCAGTAGTTATGGTTGGAATTGCTCAAGAGCTATCGATACAACTAAAGGTCCATTGTCTAGGCATGGGTACACAAGAGAAACATATGGCACATGTGAGATCATAAAAAGGGGGAAGCGTTGGTATAAGCAGTGCCGCCACGACAAGGCCCTTCCCCATAGGCACTGGTTATAGGGGAGAGGGGGAAAAATTAAAAATCTAAACTGATAGGGTCCCAATAGAATGCTACCAGTGGGGGAGCCATTTTCCTACAATCTAGTCTATGCCATGCAGAAAACATAGGGAACTATACAGATGGCATTCACATCATGGTTCCTTTTTTATTCAGGCATTGCCAGCCTCTAGAAAGAGTGGCATTGGTGTGGGCAGGAGTCCTGTAGTTTCTGCATCCAGAATTTACTGGACCAGATCACAAAGAACAAATGCCCACATTGTTATGGGGAATGTACAGATCTGACTTTTGAGTTAAGCAGGACTACTATGAATGTTCTCGTTTTCTCCTTCTCAGCTTTTATTCTAATGGGAATTAGAGTCCTCAGCAACATACTGAAGATCTTTGGCAGACAAGTCAACCTCAAAGGTGTTTCCTGATGGTAAAAAAAGTTTGAAAAACACTGGAATAGAAGTAGCAATGGCAACGGTGTGGATCGTCAATGGACCTGTTAAGAACTACCACAGGGCCTTTTAAAATGACTAGTCCTCGAATGAGAACATTTCAAAGATGTTAACCAAGATGCTTTTGGCAATTCTGTAAAGTTTAGCAGTGTATGAGGGAACTGCTTTGTAAATGGGCCACGAACAGTTTGCAACAGCTTGCTTGTAAGGCTCCATTAACAAGGCTGCGGCTTTTCCAGCCCCTTTTTCTCCACTATTCAGCGGCTGCAATAATTCCATTTATTTCTGACACGTTACCCATAACAACTCTTGCACACACATACACACACACAAGTAGCACATTGTAAAGAACTTACAGCTGCTGTCCTGTCCACTTCACAGCGGCTACTTAAAATGAAACAGGCCTCAGCATCATCCATCCTAAAATCATACGGAAATTATTATCAAGTGTTTCATATTTCCCATATCATCTCTAAGGATGGTCTAGATATTTGCTCTAAACCAAGGCATAATGCCAACTTCAGTCATAATCTTTTTTGAAGTCATTTTATTGTTCTTTTTTTTCAATTCCATATAAACAACCCACATCAAATTAGCTGTAATCAAAAAAAATCATGAGCAACCCATGTTGACACAACAGTGCATAACAAAACATATTAGGAAAGAACAGAAAAATATGAAACCAGAAGCTTAAAAAAGAAACAAATCAGATTAGTATTTTTAGGTAAATAGATACTGTCTGATTTCTTCCATTGAGCTTAGGGGGTTGCCCCCATACAGGTGGGAATTGTATAAATTGGTTTGTATGCAGTTACTGTTAGGAAAAATCAACTAGAGGAGATACTTTGTCTAACTGTTGGGAATTCCTATGGTAATGTATAAGTTTATGGTAAAGACTACTGGATGCTTGTTTTTGAACACTGAAGCCTTTGATTTCTGAGGAAGAAAATTGGAAACTGCATACTGGGATGCTTGTCAAGTAATCTTTAATTGTTTGAACAATCCGGTCTTTTTAATGACATTCATCACTCTGTGAGCATGTTTTGAACAATCTTCTTGTTATAAGTTCGTTGCATTGATTTGAATAGTGTGTGAAGTACAAGGAACAGTGTTTTGTTATCTTGTAACCAATGCAAGTTAATGTTTGTAAAACAGGAGAATCGATACATATTGACCAATGTTTTTGTGAACCTTATTCTATTTTGCTAATAGTAATTGCATTCAAACCAATTTACACTGTTCTGTTCTTTTGTCTTTAAGCTCGCTCTCAGACCGTGGTCCCTCTGCATATATCTCAACATCCAGGTGGGACCTAGAATTCTCCTGGAATCACAACTGATCGCCAGTTTACAGAGATCAGTTCCACTAGAGAAAATGACAGCTTCAGAGGGCAGACTGTATGGTATACTATAGACAGGAGTCATTTAGTAGAAAAAGAGGTGCAGGAGCTTATTAGCATAACTTATTAGCATAACTTATTTGCATATGCCACACACCCTGACATCATCAGAAGTGTGTCAGAAGGCAACACCCACCGCTCAGGCTCCACTGGACTGTTTTGGATTGCTAGCTATTGGGGGGGGGGGAAACGTGCAGATCTGTCCTCACAGAGGAGGGAGATCTTGTACCTAAATAAAACTTGGTCTTAAAGGTGCCACTGGACAGTTTTAGGCCGGGGTGGGGTGGGGCTCTGAAACTTACCTGGCTGCTTCTTGCTCTGACTGAGGGCTGCTGGGAGCAGGGGGGGGCTTGTTGCATGTGCCCGCCCCCTGGGCTCTTTACTGCCGGAGCTCCGCTCTTGTGCACTCCTGCAGGAAATAACCCCTGACAAGATTCTAGGACAAACTCCTCTCTAAATCCTGCCCTCAGATCTCCAGGAATATCAAGGTACTGCCCCAAATCTCCAGGAATTTCCCAGGCCAGATTTGGCAACCTTAACTGAGCAGAGGGTTGGACCAGATGGCCTACAAGTCCCCTTCAAATGTTTGTTTATAGTTTTATTATTAGTACGGTCTTAAGACCAACATACAGAGTAAGAAATGTTTGTTTGTTTGTTTCATTAGGCTTTTATACTGCCCTCCCAGCAAGTAGGCTCATGGTGGTCTACAACCAATTAATATAAATACATATAAAATACATGTGAACAGTCTAAAATGGAATATCATAAAACCCAACATAATGCGGCATCGTAATACAATTCAGGTCCCCCAGTTTACTTCAGCAATGGGGGGGAGGGGACAGCAATTAGTGAACCAGCTACTTGTTAAGACCAATTAAACCTGTTAAAAACCATTGTTATCCTCAACCATATGCTTGGCGGAACATCTCTGCCTTGCCCTGATGTTAATCAGCAGAGAGTTCCAACAAGTTGGAACCAGGGCCCTAGCTCTGGTTGAGGATGGACAGACACTATTTGAGCCAGGGACTTCCAGTAGATGTTGGTTGCTTGAGTGTCATGCTCTCCAGGGGACACACCAGGAGAGGCGGATCCATAGTTACGGTGGTCCCTGATGGTATAGGGCCTTATAGGTCAACACCAGAATCTTGAACCTGACCAGGTACTCAATTCAGAGCCAGTGAAACTGGTGAAGCACAGGTTGTATGTGTTCATTTACTGGTGTCCTGCATTCTGGACAACCTAGCTCTGGTTGAGGATGGACAGACACTATTTGAGCCAGGGACTTCCAGTAGATGTTGGTTGCTTGAGTGTCATGCTCTCCAGGGGACACACCAGGAGAGGCGGACCCATAGTTACAGTGGTCTCTGATGGTATAGGGCCTTATAGGTCAACACCAGAACCTTGAACCTGACCAGGTACTCAACTCAGAGCCAGTGCAACTGGTGAAGCTCAGGTTGTATGTGTGCATTTACTGGTGTCCTGCATTCTGGACAAGCTGTAACTTCTGGATCAGTCACAAGGGCAGCCTTGCATAGAGCAAGTTACAGTGATCAAGCCTAGAGGTGACCGTTGCATGGGTTACTGTGGCTAGGTCAGGGTGAGACAGGCAGGGGGCCAGTCGCCTGTTTGCCAAACATACACTGCTCAGAGCCAACTGAGGATACATTCAGCATCCATGAAGCTGCCAAACAAGTTTGCAGCTGCCCGTTGCGCAGAAGCTGACTCGCAGCTTTTCAGGGGATCAGCTGGGGTAGGTTCTGATTTCTGAGCAGGACCTAGGCTTGTTGTGCTGAGACATGGGAAAGCTTCAGGGGGAATCAGAAGCTGAGACAGGCAGGGGGGCAGTCGCCTGTTTGCCAAACATACACTGCTCAGAGCCAACTGAGGATACATTCAGCACCCATGAAGCTGCCAAACAAGTTTGCAGCTGCCCGTTGCGCAGAAGCTGACTTGCAGCTTTTCAGGGGATCAGCTGGGAGGTAGGTTCTGATTTCTGAGCACTTCCCCAGGACCTAGGCTTGTTGTGCTGAGACGTGGGAAAGCTTCAGGGGGAATCAGAAGCTGACTCATAGCTGATGGTGGATCAGCTGGGAATGAGCTTCTGTTCCCCACCACCCCCAAACAGCTGTGCAGTCAAGGTGACTTCTAACCTCCCTATGAAAAAGCGAGAGAACAAAGAGATTGTCTTCCCTTTTCTCCAGGCGGGGTGTGTTTGTGTGTGTGTGTAAAAGCAATACTTCTAGGCCCCACTGTCAGAACTAAGAGTGCTATTTATAAAATACTGTTTGTTTATTTAAAAGTATTCAGAAGGAAAAAAATAGTTATTGCAAACACATTTCTCAGAAATCATGCGGAACAAAAACAATAAAGCTAGCTTCACTACCTAACACTTTCCCAAGTTGCATTAGATGGAACAAACCTCAGTTTTTCATAGGAAGTCCACAAAGCAGAGCTCACTACATCTCTAGCAATTGTAAAGCATAGTGCAGGCCCATAGTCCATGAAAATCTCAACTAGCTATCCCTCGGGCCACAACTGAATTATACCTTTTGGTCCAGTATGTCAGGCAATGGTGATATCCAATCACAATGTGCCACCAAGAGAAATCTCTGGAAGATGACATCACCTCTCACAGCCTCCCCCCCTCCATCACAGATCACAGGTTCCCATAAGAAACAAATTATCTGTCCTCCATCTTTGGCCTTGAAGATGATAAGGAGCCTGCAGATCAGAAAGCCAATTAACAATACCTGCAGTTCAGTCCAGGCCCAACATGGTTCACACCAGCCCTTTGTGGGAGGGGATGGCAGAGGAGGCACTTTGCTTCATACCCAGATTGAAAAAGAGAGAAAGCAATAGCTTCTTTCTTCCTTCAAGCTTTGGAGGGGAGGTGGAAGAGCAGCAATGCTTTTGATCTCCCATTGAAAAAGGGGGGGGGGAATCGCTTTGCTCCTGTTTGAAGCCCAAGCCACAGTTTTGGGGTGTGGAGTAGAGAAACTGACCGCTCTTAAAAACCCTGAGAGCTTTGGCTCTGGACAACAGGAGTCATCTCCTTTTCTCTACAGCCTATGTTGACAACTTGGGGTGGGAAGAAAAGAAGGGGAATCAGATAGGCTTCTCATCTCCATTAACCCATTGTCCAGATATGCTGCATCTCAGCAATTGCGGGACACAGCATCATTTCCAGGATGGGAGAACAGAAGACTCCCAGCTGATCTCAGTGATATTTCACCAGGGCTAAATAAGAAACCAACTCCCTGCTTATCCCTGAGTGTCAGCTTTGAAGGGCTGCAGGCAGGGGTCATTTCTTGCAGAAGCGCACAGGACTGGAGCTCCGGCAGTAAAGAGCCCAGGGGGTGGGCACATGCAACAAGCCCCACCCCCTGCTCCCAGCATCCCTTAGTCAGAGCAAGAAGCAGCCAGGTAAGTTGCAGAGCTCCCCCCGGCCCAAAACAGTCCAGTGGCACCTTTAAGACCATGTTTTATCCAGGTACAAGCTCTCCCTCTTGTGTGAGGACAGACTGCCCCTTCCCCCCCCCCAATAGCTAGCAATCCAAAACAGTCCAGTGGAGCCTGAGCGGTGGCCGTTGCCTTCTGACACACTTCCAGTAATGTCAGGGGGTGTCGCATATGCAAATGAGTTATGCTAATGAATTATGCTAATGAGCTCCTGCACCTGGCTGCAGGTAGGTTGTTCCGAAGACTGGGTGTGAACAGGTAGTAAGCAGGTAGTGAACAGCCCTCAATTAATCAGCTGCCTGACCACTGGTGAACAGGAAGTGAGGTGAACTGGCAGGTGTTTGAGCATGTATAAAGACAAAGGGGTTTCCTTTTTTTACAAAAAGAACCATGATTGTAACATGCTTGCCACAAAAGTTGACCTTGCTGACTTCAGGCAAGCTCACGCAAGAATTTTTGATGAAGTGATCACCGTGGCAGTTTACTCAGTAATTCTCCCTGGCTATCATTTCTTTTGCAGATGCCCTCCCACACAATGTGGCCAGAATTATATCCATCGTATCACAACCCAAAGCACATTCACAGCACCCTTATTACAATTCCGTTTTCTTCCTGAATTTTACTGGCTCTCTCTACCAGTTCTACCCTCTTAGTATTCATCTCTACAAGGCTAAGGAAACAGCCCAAATCATTTCCATAAAAGAGAGCCTCCGTGCAGCTGTTTTTTAACAAAAGCTTTTAAATAATGAACTACACAGCCACCAATTTTCATAAGCAGCCACACAATGTTTTACAATGCAGAATATGTATGCAGATCAGAATAATGAGCAACAAAAAAGATTCTGTTTAGTTGTCTTCAGTAGCCAAAACATACCTAACACTTCCTTTAGTGGAAGGATTTAGTTGGTTATCTTTTACTATACCCTCATTATGAAAAGAGAGAGAGAGAGACTGCTGCTTAGCAACTTCCAGGTTTATTGGGCTATATTTCTTATAATACGGTCTATTAAGCTCCCACCATGCTGCTTTACATAGAATGTGATTTAAAAAAATAACTCCTGCAAAGGGTACATTCAATTACATGTTTTGTAAGGGGGGGAATGCATTTCTATAGTTCCTGCACTTTGGATTATTATGGGATAAATTCCTATGATTATGTTTAAGGGATAACTTTTTGGATTTAAGTTCACCATCTAATGTATTGGGGGGATCTTTTCAGTAAAGCCAGCATGGGAGCAAACCTTTGAACCTTTTCAACCCTTATTTGTTCAGCAGTGATTATCTCCCAACACTCTATTTTTTCTGTATATCCCCTTTCAAATGCAATGAAGGGTAATAATGGACTTCCATACAGTTCTGTCTCTTGAAGACTGCACATCCAAATGCTTAGAAAAATGGAAGCTCATCCTATAATTAGCCATTATTATAAAGGATTCCTGCACTTTGGATTATTATGGGATAAATTCCTATGATTATGTTTAAGGGATAACTTTTTGGATTTAAGTTCACCATCTAATGTATTGGGGGGGGGATCTTTTCAGTAAAGCCAGCATGGGAGCAAACCTTTGAACCTTTTCAACCCTTATTTGTTCAGCAGTGATTATCTCTCAACACTCTATTTTTTCTGCATATCCGCTTTCAAATGCAGTGAAGGGTAATGGTTTTCCATATAGTTCTGTCTCTTGACGACTGAACATCCAAATGCTTAGAAAAATGGAAGCTTATCCTATAATTAGCCATTATTATAAAGGAAACAATAGAGTCCAGGCATCTCACCCAACCTCCTTAATTACGTGTTTTGCAACCTATAAACTCTTCATAAGATCTGTAGAAATTCTGGGATCCATTAGAATTTTAGCCCTCTGAACTCCAAAGATAAATTGGATAAATTGGGCCTTTTTGTTATTTTTTAACACGCCAAACAAGTTGCTAACCTAATGATTTAAAATGCATTATTTGAAAGGGGAAAAAGTAGTAATATACTTATAATCTATCAGTAATAATTCTATTCTAATGGAAGCATGCCAGTAAATAATGCCCCCTTGGTGCCATTTTGGGTAAGGTTTAAAAAAAAATGGCACAGGGGAAAGACAGGAGCCCCTTCTTCCCCCACTTTGCAGTGGTCCCCACCAGGATCAGGGCCCCATGGTGCTGTTAAAAGGAGTTCCTGTGGCAACGCACTCTACAAAATGGCAGCGTGTCCCCAGGGACAATGTCTCATCTAGTTTGGCATCAGGGCTGCTTACACAATCCTGACATGATAACTCTTCACAATGCCAACTTTTGAAATTCTATACATGATCAAGGTATAAGTTCAACGCCGACGTCAACTAAAAACAGAAAAACAAAAACTTGGAGAGCAATTTCCCCTAAGACTTGGATTCTTTAGACAAAAACTGGAGTATTCCATGGGGAAGAGCAGCAAATATAATTAAAGAAGGGTTTTGATGACCCTGTCCACACACCCCCACACCTGATACACAGGGCTTTCAAATACATTCACAGAGTAAAAAAACCCTTCCGATCCTAGGAATTAAAACATTGGTAGCTCACAGATTAATTCTTATATTACAGCAGCATCATAGTTAATTGTTGCTCCCCCCTTGCCATGGTTGCTTCCCATCCTCCTCTGGGCAGATTAAATAACAGCTATATGCAGCAAGTATTTCTGGCCAGGTGTTTCATCCTAGATGGTAAGGAGGGTTTTGAAACTGGAACACTAAATCCCTCTGAACTGAACAAGGTTATCTTCTGTGACTGAATGGGAACAAGTCACAAATTGTTGTTATTTTTATCTGACTCTCCAGGAAAACTAGCATCACCCACCTCTGCCGAAAGTAGCACCATGGCATTTCACTCTCTATTGGCTCACTTTACATATTACAGTTATAGTTAACTGTGAATGTGACAAACATGGCTTTACAAGGACACGTATGCTCATCAGGGAGCTATGGGCTGCTTACAGCTCACCGTAGATTCTACACTTAGTGACACATCCGGGTTTGCCTCCATGTAATATGTAAAATGGTCCTGTATGTACCACTCCCCAAAACCATGATATTAATCCAAGTGAAAGTCAGTAATAGATACATAAAAGAGTCAACAAATTAACAAAATTAGAATTTTACATGTAGGACTCCAAACAGTGCACATTAGCAAGGAAAAAAAAATGATTCACAACAGAACACAAATTCACCGAAGTTAGGATGGCATTAGATTTTGAACAAATTCTGCCACTCTCTTAAGCATCTAGGTCCTGTTCATAAAGATCAAAATTGCAAATTCAAATTCCAGGCTGGGGGGGGAGGGGAGAAGTAGTTGATGTTTTTATACCTACTTAGCTCTCAGGAGGTCCTGATCTTTCAGTGCTGAGCCCTGCAGATAGATAACTCTTTGAGACCACATTGGAATTTGTAACACTCTTCGAACCTGAGCATCCATCTCAGTGGGGCATAAGATAACCACATAGTAGTCCTGTAAAAAAATGTGAGTGAGAAGGAATGGGAGAGAGGAGAACATAGCAAATATTATTATAGGGTTTTTTGTTTTGTTTTGTGGGGGGGTTTGCCCATAGAAGTCAGGATAAAGTAGTCTTGTTGGAAAGTTGAGAATCTGTGAGAGTGATAACACATTTCAACTCTAGTTCTGTAAAGAATAACATAAAAGACTCCATGCTATTTACTTCTGCCAAAAGCTGCCCAGCGAGGTATTCAAATGTAGAGCTTTGCAGCATGCTGTGATGAGTTCAAATCACTCCCTCCAGCAAAGCCTGTTTTAAGTATTATGTAATTTAGAAACAATCTATAGTTCTTCGGCAGAAAATGCATGTTTACAGACTGCCCCAGACATATCAGTGCTCACAGGAGATATTAAGAGGAACACTGAACGAGCACCAGCAAACTTAACAGCGGCAGACCAGCAGGTTTAGGATATCTATAATAATGAATATTTCCACAAATGCTTTTCTGTTCAATTACTTTATAGGTAAAGTTGTCAGTCTACTGACGCTGGCCAAGATGAACATCTCATTTCAGTTCTGCCTGAACTAGGAGAGATTAAACATTTCAGAAGACTGCCTGAACTGATATTCTAGTTTGATTTACTTGGAGCCTAGGGTGAGCGTAGAATTCATTTAGGAAATCCATGAGCAGGTCAATCTTCAGAGAACTCACGCACAACACAACATGCTTTTCAGTCTGAGCTCTGTGTCGGCTATAATTTCCACCTGATTTTTGCCTCTCCATCCACAAATAAGCCAGCTGCTCAAACTGCAAGAAATTGAAAGATAAGAATGATACAGATATATCTTGCCCATGAATCTAAGGTCCATGCAAACCTACATGACCTGCCTACCAAATCTATTTGTATTTCCTATGTTTCAATATCAAATGCTTTCTTATATCCATTATCTGTTTAAAGGGCTATCTGCTCACAGCAAACACCACAGCTGCTAGAACAGTAAGGCAATCCACTCTAATGCCCTAGAAATTCTAATAATTTTACAATTTGAGTTACTGTATTCATTAATCACTTCTCCAAGCAATGATCAAACCAATGTAAAAGCTATACATGAAATTACAAGCTAACACCAAACAGCAATTACCAAAATACCAATATCAAAACTCAGTTCATGAAATGTACTAAAATTCCAGCATGTGCACTTTTTTGAAAAATTGTCCTGAGACAAAGAACAAACACAGGAAGGGCAACTATAATTGTCCCTGTGTGTTTACTTGAAAGCTTGCTCCAGGGTTAGATTTATGTACAGACTAAGTAAACTACACCTTAGGGCCTCTAAATAAATTTTTAAAACCAATTATTATAGATTATCTATATATCTAATTCCAACAGGAGGTGGGTTGTGCGGATACTTATTTCTGCCAACAGATGGCTCACTCTCCCCCAACAGCTTTTCCTACATAGTCAGTAGACTTCCTGTGTCTGCAGAAAAATCCAAGAAGTAAAAAACTCCCTTCAGGGAGGATTGATTT